GTAGCTGCAAGCCCGACAAACACAGAAGCAGGAAAAGGAGGAAACACAGAAAATAAAAGGTAAAACGTCCCTAGGAAAAAAGGTAGATAAAGAGAAACAGGTTAATTTACATTAAAAGAGCTAGCCAGGAATGAGCCTAAGCTAGGCTAAACATTCATAATTAATAAGTTTCCATGTCATGATTTGAGAGCTGGTTGGTGGCCAAAAAAAGGAAAGCCTGTTACAAAATAGTGATGGAGAGATGGTTTAGTGGTTAAAATCTGGTTGTCTTCCAGAGTACCAATGTGACATATCACAACTGTCTAAAACCCTAGTTCCAGGGGTTCCAATGCCTCTTCTTGCTCATGGGCAGGAATCATACACGTTGTATGAAGATATACATGTAGGCAAGACACCCATATACTTAAAATTTTAAAACAATTTTTATTTTATTTATTTACTTGTTCTTTGTTTTGTTTTTCAAGATCGATTTTCTCTATGTAGCCTTGGTTATCTTGGAACTTCTGTAGATCAGACTGGCCTCAAACTCACAGAGATCCCAAGTGTTGGGATTAAAGGCAAGCACCACCATCACATGACTATTTCATTTTATTGTTTTCATCTTCAGGACATGGTTTCTCTGTGTAATCACTCTAGCTGTTCTGGAACTCACTATGTAGACCAGGCTGGCCTCAAAATCAGAGATCTATCTGCCTCTGCCTCCTGAGTGTTGGCGTTAAAGGAGTGTGCCACCATGCCCAGCTAAAATAAATAAATAAAAAAATTTTAAAAGAATAAAGCAAGGAGTATGTGTTCATAGATTAAAGTCTCTCCATTATCTTCTTCTCATTTGTATTTTAACATAAAATATCATAACAACATTTTTATTTGATAAGAAATTGTTATTCTTACAAATCAGAATCATGTTCATTACCAGCGAGAGCAAATAATTATATCTCATTGTATGTCTGTCACCTGCCTTAATGAGAATAAGATGAAGAACAGTTGAGCAAATGTGCCCCCAGGATTTATCCAAAACAATATATTCAATTTACTTCATATAATGGATGCAAACCTAGCATCCTAGGATCTTCAGGTTAAACTATCGATGATAATTCTGAATCTAACTAGTAAAACATGGTTCTCAGCAGAGGTTTAATCTACTGCTTGCATTTAGTTTTTTTTTTTTTTAAATTTCTAATATGTTGATAGTCTTTCAGTCATCAGAAAAATTCTGTAGAAACAGATCTCTCAAAAGATTCATGATAAATGGGAGTTCTTTTCCACAGAGTATGTGCAAGTAATTGCAAAAGGTGAAATATTTTTAGTAATTCAAAGAATTAATTTCATAATTATCCATTCATCTTCACAGTTTTCTGCCTGCTAAATTTATTCTAAATTCTTCCCTGGGTTCCTAATTAAATAATTAAATGATAAGCATAAGTTCACACAGTAATGCTGTTGTAATCTGTTTGCTGGATAAATATGTATTGAGTTAGTACACATCAGTTCTCATCATCTGAGAAACATACATCCTTTCCTCAAGTTGTTTTCTAACAGGTATGTGACTCTAGTGTCAAACAGCAGAGAATCCTTATTCAAACAGATATGAGTAAAAAGAAACTAAGAAATCCAGAGGTAGGGCCACTCTGCACATGAAGTGATGGGATTCCAGTCTGGGTCTTGCTACTCTGTAGTTTTGTGGCAATAAAATGACTGTTGTGCAGCTAAGTGCAGTTATGTCAGGACAGAGGAAAGAACGACCCTCCTTATAGACGAACAAACCTTTATTGAAGAAGTCTTTTCTCAGGCCTTCTTGGACCAATATGGATTGTGTTTCCAAACCCAACCCATTCATTGTCAGTGAGCACAGCACTGCAACATGGTAAGTCTGACCAGTCAAGATAATTGCCACCTCCCTTGCCTCAAATCGAGTCAGAAGTGCAAGAGTGAATCCCTAAAGAAAATTTGTACTGTATATTGAGGATGTGGCAGATAATGTTACTGAGTCAGAAAGCAACAGCATTGCTGTAAATGTGAAGATACCTTCTTACCTTATTTCCTTCTGTGCACTGGCGCTGAAAAGAATAGTTTATCTGAATAAAAAAACCTCCTCAGGAATTATGCTTTACCTTTAGCATAACTTTATAAAAATGTCAGAAACTGTATAAACAGCATTTAGTAGGATCTTTATAAAAAACACAAGATTAGGGATAAAATGAGTTGAATTAGGAATAATGGATATCAAATTCCATTCATTCATTTGTCCAAAATGTTTTTAAGACTACTGAGGTTTCCCACATGCCCAGGATATAGTGATGAACCAAATTAACCCCATTGCTGTCCTCATGCTTTAGAGATGGACAGAGACATTTGTAAAAATAGATATTAAATGTAGACTGGTGGTTCAGGGAAAGCTTCTGAGATAAGAAAAAAACATCAGAGAACACAGCACACAAAAGGGCTCCAGGGCAGACTGAGCAAGATGCACTTGGGGAGTAGGAAGGTTATTGAACATTTCAGTCAGGCTGCGTCACTGTGACATAAAACTGACATAAATAACCTGATGAGAGAAAGGGTTGTTTTAGTTCACAGTCTGTTGTTATTTCTAGCTCCACAGTCAGGCAGAACAACATGGAACTGGGAGCATGTGGCAGGTGAAATATTGAATATGTATTAGGTAGTATAAAGCTTGGAAGATATTTGCAAGATGAATGTTATTCAGTGTGGGGAGATGCCAGATAAATATTTTCCTAATGAAAACAGAAAACTGAAGGAAGTTAATACAGAAAGGGACTCGATAACAGCTCCAAGCACATGTCCCTAGTAATGTGTTTCTTTCAACCGTGTTCTACCTCTGATTAGCCATTTTGGGAGTCCCTCAAGGAAATAATATGTTTATTAGAGCAAAGCCTCAAAAACCGGTCAGATCACAAGCAAGTCCTTAAGTGTGATATCTTGTGTTTAGACTAGCAGCATATAAAGAGGGAGTGTGACTTTATAAGAAGCTTACAGACTTTTTCTTCCTTGTCATCTGAAAGCCTCGAAGAGTCATTTAAAGGATTTGAGTTAGAAAAGTAATGGTTTATGATTTTGAGTAGATGACTTTAATATTTGGGAGAGAATGAATTGAGTGCATCAAAGTAGATGCAGACAACTATTAGCTAACTTTTGTAAGGATTCTAACAATAGCACAAGGATGTTCAAGTTAATATGGAAAATCTATATGGACTTGTATGAGTTTTAGAAAATGAGAAATGACAAGGCTTGTGATGGCATGGATATGTGGCATGAGGAACAACAAGATGTCATGGACTGGGAGGATAGTTTTTAGGCTTCTAGCTTGTAGCTCTGGATAGACAGTTTCCTTTCCCTAGAGCAAGGGAATTCTAGAGTACTAGTCTCAAAGGAAGAATAATATTCAGTATTGGATAGGTTGACCCTGGAGCCTATTTCACATAGGCAGAGATAATGAGTAGATATTACACAGCCTAGAGCTTAAAAGACAGTCTCAGGGTGGGTATATCTGTTTGGGAGTTGCTAGTATACAAATAGAAGATGAAATTTTAGGGCTCTGTCTTAAGAATGCCTTAGGAGAAAAAGTTAAGCCAGAAAGAAAGAGGCCTAGGGCTTATTTTGAAAAACTCTTGAGAAGACAAGATTCACAAGCTTACAGAAAGAAGTAGAAGAAATAGTGTTTAGGAAGAGAAAGCAATTAAATGATGCTTCTAACTAAACACACACACACACACACACACACACACACACACACACACACACACAAAACTAGAGGTAAGAAATATCCTTATCCTCAATGACAATCTCTTTGGTTTTGTTTGTTTGTTTGTTTGTTTTGTTTTTTGGTGTTGTTTTTGTTTGCTTGGTTTTTGTTTTGTTTTGTGTTTTTTGTTTTTCAAGACAGGATTTCTTTATATATAACAGCTCAGGTTTTCTTGTGTAACAGCTTTGGCTGCCCCAGTACTCATTTTAGACCAGACTGGCCTCCATCTCGCAAAGATTCACCTGCCTCTGCCTCCTAAGCTCTGGGATGAAAAGCATGCTCTGCCACCACCTGGGCCATTCTCATTGGTAATCTCTGAGAAAACTTTATTTGGTAAAATGAAAGCTAGAAAGAATGGCTTGAGAGTGAGTGAGTGAGTGAGTGAGAGAGAGAGAGAGAGAGAGAGAGAAGAGAGAGAGGTAGAGAGAGAGAGAGAAAGATGTGGCTAAGGAGCTATGCTTGTAGTTTTTGTGACATGAAGGTAAGGCTTCAGTCTTTTCTCTGTAGAAGAGGATGGAGAGAGGGAAACTTGATGGAGATGATAGATGGGTGATGGAAAAGCATACACTGTGTAAAGTGAGAGAGATACCGATGAAACCGCAGTAACTGAGCAGTGCTTGTGGACCAAGAAGGATACGAGGGCTGTAATCATGCTGCTATGTTCAGCTTTGTGGCTTTCTTTAGTGGCAGGAGGCTTATCAATACGATATGACAAGGACAGCAAGATCCACTCAGAGCTAGACTTCTGTGAAAAAGTGAACAAGGAAGAGTGACTTCAGTGAGGACAGGTGGTGGGCTTGAATATGATTCTAGAAAGAATGTAAGAGATAAAAAGTAGCACTTTCCCATTGTAGAATAAGTAAATGGTGAGCATGCAAGGCATCAAGAATGATGTAAACATCCCTTGGGCCTCCAATGTTCAGTCTATCAAATAGTAGCTCAACAGTCTGTTGTCTGCAAGGTGCCCTAGCTCCCTTATTTCCTTCTTCCCCCCTTTTCTTTCCCATTCTGCCTTCCTGCTTCTCTCCCTTCATTTCTCCCTTTCTTCCTCCTTCCTTTCTTCATTCTTTTTTAATACTTCTGTATACTTTTAAAAATTAACAGTTTCATATGTTAAGAGTGTTTTAGAAATCAATAAATTTTATTTTGCATTATAATTGTACTAACTGTATAGAAATTATTTAAATGTATATTCCATTTAACCAGAGATTAATATAATAAATTATTTTACCCTGTATAGGTTTTAGATGTCTGCACAATGAAAATGAATCTAGATTCACCAGCCAGATATATGTATGACATGAATGGTAGAAAAGTTGAAGATATTTCAAAAGGTAAGTGGCAAATATTTGTAACTCCTGCGATACAATTTTGAAAGAAATTTATATAATTTTCCCTTTAAGCATTTTATAGAGAAGAAAAAGCAAGGATTTAATTTTAGCACTAATAAACAGTTAGTACAATTATAATGCAAAGGGGCACTGTGTGTAATATGTACAGTGTAAAAATACCTTTCAAGAGATGCCAGGATTATAAGAATAATTTTTTTCTTTTGCCATAACTTTAAGTTATTTTTAAAGCTGAGTATTTTAAATTTAGTGAACTGTAAGTAAGTAAGCAATTATTGGCCTCTCTAAGACAAATCATTGGGGCTCAGGGTGTGGCTCAGTGGCAGAGTGCTTGCCCAGTGTGTACAAGGCTGTGGGTTCAATTCCCAGAGGAAGCGGTGGGGGGAGCTTGAGAGGGTGAGGGATGGAGGCAGAGAGAAAGGGAAGGACAATCTCTAGAGGTTATCCCTCTTATCTTGGTTAAGAGGAAGGATTTAAATGTACGAATTTGAGTCTATTTCCTTTCCGTGTGTGGTGTAACAAAATTGCTTCTCTACAGCATTCAAGGCAGGCTGAGGCAGAAGTGGCACAAGTTTGACCCTAGTCAGGACATGGTCTTAAAAGACAAGATTTCCTGACCCAAATAGTGAAGTAGTGACTGAGCCTGCTGCCTCCTGGCTGCCAGAGGCTTTGAAATGTATGCTCATACTTCATGGGCTCCAGAAGTGTGCTGTTATCATATTTTAATGCATGCCTCACTTTGTGCTTTTACATACAAGCTTATGTCGGCTGAGATTAGCTCATGCAGCCACTAACATCGGATTTAAAATACTTAGCCTAATCCAATTGGAGGAACCTCCAGCCTGTAGCTCTCCTAGTTACTTAATATTAGATTCTAAAATTTGTTTTTCTTTGTTAACTATGATGCTGTGCATTGACTGATGGGAGTCCCTCATCTTCCTGTTGATTATCTTCCAAACCTTGACATAGGGATGGTCAAATATTATGTAAAAGGTAACTCCTAGTTTAAATAAACAAATACAAATACTCTTACTTCCTATGGATTTTTTTTTGTTGTTGTTGACTTTACACCAGATCAGAAAGTCAGCTAATAAGGTGTAATATTACGTTCATAGCTGGTCTCTCTCAAAAGATGGAACATATGAGCAAGGGAGGTCAAAATCATAATGGAGAAATCTACAGAGGCAGCTGAACCAAATTCATGAAAACTCATGAACTCTAGACCCACAACTGTGGAGGCACCAGGGGACTGAACTAGGCCCCTCCTTTTGTGGGAGGCAGTTGTGAAACTTAGACTATCAGAGGGGCCCCTGGCAGTAGGACCCCACACAAACCTGGTACATAAACTAGCTTATTAGAGCCCATTCCTTAGGGTGAGATGCCGTGCTCAGAGCAGTAGGACTACTATATAATCCCAGTACATGAACTTGGTAGAGCCCACTCCCTGTGGTGGGATGCCATGCCCAGTCTTAAAGCATGGGAGGAGAGCTGGGCCCTGCCCCAACCTATTGTACCAGTCTATGTTGACTCCTCATGGGATCTCTTACCCATGAGGAAAAGTGGACTGGGGGTAGACTAGGGGGTGGTGAAGGAGGGTGGGAGGGAGAATTGTGGTTGGAAGGTAAAATGAAATCAAAAAATAAAACATGGGGGAAAAAAGATTAGCAGTGTAGTTGTCTTTACTGGTGCCTCCTATTTCTACTATAGAAGTATGTATACTTTCAAACATTCCTCCTGTGTTATGGGAAATAAGCACATTTGTCATGACATAAAAGTATTTATACATTGTCACAGCTAGTGAAACTTTAAAATAGCTCACGTGATTTACAAATTGCTTTTGTGGTTATGTGTCTAAACCACAAGGATTTCACTGAAAATAGTTAAATAACATGGAGTCCTAGCAATGAAAGGGGGATGTGAAAATGTGGTTCCACCCTTAACCAATAACTAATGATACCTGTTGTCAAAGGGGGCATCAAATTTTCTCCAGTGGAATGTCACTATGTCACTGGATAGGTATATCACTCCATGGCAGGTCTCGTGCTGGGGGATAATTGGTCCACACAAAATGAACTCCATAGTTTTTGTTTGCTTGTTTGTTTTGTTTTGTTTTTCATGTTGTTTGTTTTGATTTGTTCTATTTGTTTGCTTTGTGTGTGGGGGAGGGGGGCTTGTTTCATTTTGGAACTTTTTGTCATTTTTCAGTTAGTTTTGGTATTTGTTGAGAGAGAGGAGAGAGAGAAAGAGAGGGGGATATGAAGTTTGGTAGTTTAGGGAGGTAGGAGGATCTGGCATCTGAGAGCAGTTGAGGAAGGGCAAAATATGATTGAAATATATTGTATGAAAGAAATTTGAAATAAGGAAATAAAAAAGGAAACCATATACCAACAGCAGTCCTTTAGTTGTGTTTTCTGTATAGATCTATCCTTTCAACACAAGAAAGAAATTATTTACTTCATAGAGATGCTATGTTTCTGAGGTAATCAATATGAACATAACATGCTGATATCTTGTCAGGGTAACAGAGCTAACAACAATGCATCAAGAGGAATGGATTTTCCAAATCTTTCTACCTTTAAAACCAGGTCATTAACTGAATAATAGCCATTAACTTTGGTAGTAACCTGACAGTCCTGGCCAGGCATCTCAGAGTATGCTATAGATAGAGAATGCTAGATGCACAGAAAATGGACTAGGAGACAGTGCAAACAAGTGGAGGCACAGGAGGAAGCCAAACTCCCACATTAAAGAGAGCAAGGCCAGTGTACGGCTTTATAAGGCACAGCCATTAAGATGAGGGCTCTTTGCTTAGGGAAAAGTACATTTGCCAGCTAACCTTGTGTATCGTTTGAATCACTCCTCCAATTAACTAGTCAATTTTGAGCTATTTGCGTCATACATGCATTTGAAAGTACACACTGTCCCTTTAAACAATTTTTAATTAATTAATTTGTATGTGTGTCTGTGTGCTTGTGATCATGTGGAGATCAGAATGTAATTGTAGTAGTTGATTCTTTCTAACATATGGTCCTGAGACATTGAGCCTGGGCTGTCAGACTAAGTAGGAAGTCCTTTTACCCATCTTGGTCTTGTAGACCTTAGTCTCTCTCTCTCTCTCTCTCTCTTTCTCTCTTAAAAAAAAGTCTGTGTGCCATGTGCATGCCTGGTGTTCAAGAGGTACAGAAGAGGACATCAACGCCCCTGAGACTGAAGGCACAGATGTTTTCAAGCTGTTCTGTGGATGCTGGTGATCAATCCCAGGTCCTCTGTAAGAGCACCCGGTGCTTTTAGCTGCTGAATCTTCTCTTCATTTCATCCCTCTAGTGTCTCTTTGGTTGTGTATTTAATAACATGGCATTCCCATTCTGGCTAACTGTCTCCAATTTTTGTTTTTAATTTTTTTAACTACACTGGCAAGTTATTACATTTCGATGAGCCAGAAAAGCCACTCTTCCATCAAGAACAAGGCCAAGGTCACCAGTCCCTTATAACCTTTATGGGGGTGTCTTTTTAAACATCTCTGCTTTCTTGAGGACCATTCTAGACCATGGTGGGTAGTGTAGACCTTACTCCAGTGGTTCTGAAAAGAGTCAGAAGAGTGTATCAACTAAGAAAGTCCAAGGCCATTCTATGGCAAACAAAATGCTCACTGCCTATTATCCAGTGACAATATCCAAAAGAGCTATGTTGTGACTTCTTTATTTAACATGTGCCTATTTATTTATGCCCATGGTTATGTATGTGTGTAAGTTCATACATGTGTGTAGACAGGAGGTCAGCTTTGGGTGTCTTCCTCAGTTGCCATCTATATTAGGTTTTAAAGCAGCGTCTCTTATTTCACCTGGAATGCAGTAATCTAAACAGTAGCCAGCAAGTCCCAGGGTCCACCTATTCTACCTCTCCAGTGGTGGGATTACAGGCACACCATGTAGGGAGCACAAACACCAACTTTTTATAGAAAGATTAGAATTTAAAGATAAAAATTCCAAAAGAATGTAAACTATTCAAGTCAAGACAAGTGGATTCCAGGATCAAGTTACCTTTGTGAGTGAAATTCAGTAGCATGTCCAACTCCTGAAGTTAAAGCGCAAAGAATGTGAAGGTCTTCATTTTCCCTTGCTGTGCTATCATCTAGATGTTCCCTTGATGCTGTATTTCTGATGGAATTCCCCAAGGAGTCAGTTTCAGGGTTCCTGGAATGGGTGCCATCATTTAGGCTCTGAGAAGTTTATTTAGGTCTACACCAACCTTTACAGACCCTTATCATCTCACCAAACAAAATAATTAGAACATCAGTATCATACCCATCACATTCAGAACAGAACCTAGTTCAAGAAACTATGGACATTTCATCCAAGATTATGTTTCTAGGCCCAACAATTAGCACAATTCAAACCCCAAGAACATAGCAAACTCTAAATGAAAGAGTGTCGAGCTGAGGAAATATTCTGTTTGTCTGTCTTGCCAAGATGACAATCAATCCCCATAGCTGGTCAGAGTCTATGGCCTGAGATATACTTTGGGAAGCTTTTCTTTTTAGGACATGGTTTATGACTTGATAAATGTACAGCATCTCCAGGAAAAAATTGACTAATATACCCTGACCCCCATCTCATACTACTGCGGCTGGACCCAGTATGGTGAAGTGCCTTCATTTTAGTTGAAAATCCAGTTTGTATCAGTAAACTGTTTATTTAGTGTATAAAGTATATAAAAGTATATGAAGTATATATAAAAACAGTTTATATCAGATGGTTAATTAGCATCTTTGAGATCAGTTTCCTTATTTGTAAAATGAATTACAGTAAATATTTTCATAGGTTGCTTTGGGGATTAAATAAATTATACATAAATTTCTTAAAGCAGCATTGTATAAGACTTGTTTTTTAAAAATCATCATTACTATCAAAATTCTTATTCTCAAATGGGACTGAGAGTGCTGTGTGCTTGCAACATTTGGAAGTTTGCCTGGGTAGTCACCCCAG